CTTTGAACAATGAAATGATATTAAATCATATTTTTGTTTGATTTCATATGAAACTAATTGTAATGACAGTTTTAGAGAATGGGATACCGAATATCTTTATAAACGCATCTGTTTAATAACGAATACTTTCATCATAAAGACGTACCTCTATATTTTTTAACTAAACTAATTGAATGTTATAATATTAATGTGCTTACAATGTTATAATAAGCACTAATAAGGAGAGGTAAAAAAGATTTTACGTCTGAAAATTGGAATTGTAGTAATTGTTGTCGGAGTAAATGTATTCGGAGAATTTTTTTACAGTGTCGGAGTAAATGAATGTCGGGGTATCATCAGTTCGTGGCAATCTCCGGAACCCTATAAAAACATACAATATCTCGTATTTTGTACATATAAATATGTACTTGTACTACTCATTAACAATTATGACCATTTCTATTAAATTACTAAATTAATCTCAAATACTATAAATAATATATATATATATTTATATTAAATTACTTATGGGCCTAAGAAATTCAGAACAAGAATATTTTAACATCATAATATTTGATCCAAACAATTAAATAAATTTCCTGATATATAACACACTCATAAAAATTTTAATATTTTTACAACTCCTACTTAATTATTATTCTTAAACTCAAAATGCATTTAGACAAATTGAAAAACAAGCAAAGAGATCAAGGTCTAAGAAAAATTAGTTTAATCGATGATTATCCACAAATAAAACAATTTAAATTAAAAAAAGAAATAATATATGACAATTCCAATAAATTAGAAGTAGGATTTCTACATAATATATTTAAATATCCAGATCCTTTAGAATTATCACGAATTAGAAATTCATACGTCTAACATAACTAAAAAAAAGTACAGAAACCTATTCAGCTTAAATAATAAAATAAAACTCTCATTTACGGATCTAAAAGTTGATAAAGATTATTACATTCTAGTTCATAATAGAGATTGATGTATGCGTGACATAAATATATTTCTGAAAAACAAATCAATCTCCACCAATAAAAGAAATAAATATAGAAATATCTCTAAGTGCCAATCATTGGTAGGAAATATTAAAAAAGGAACCATTTTATATAAGATGCAAAAAATGTTGCACACAATTATTTTCTTAGGAAATATAAAGATAATAAAATAAACTTATATCTTTATAGCACCAATTTTACTAATATACAGTTTAACCTAATTAACATAGAAAAATATAATCTAAGATTTTAATTCTGGAGTTTGCTGTTCTAATATTTAACACTATAAAACCTTACTCAAATAATACTTGTTTACCTATATCGTCATAACGCCAACGTATCCTAATAGGGTGCATATTCTAGAACGTCTTGGTACATCCCAGTGAAAATTTTGGTGGGATGATCCCACCCATATTTTTTTTTCTCAATCCTATAATCTTGATGTCAAGTGGTCGCTTTTTTCTATAATACATTCCCACTAAACTATCTAATTTTAACCACTGTATCAAAAATCGATATCGTCGATCATACAGCCTAAACAAATTACTTCTTGCAGCTACCCCTAGCGATCAACAACTCTCTGCCTTTTAACAGCATTCAACAATTCAACATCTATCTACCTTCAGAATTAGTCAGTTATTTAAACAACTTCAATAAAATTAGTAAGTAAATAAAATGTCCTTTTATTTAATTTAAACTAAAATTAAAAAAAAACAATTTTTTTTCTGTCTCTATTTTTTCTTTCTTGTATCTCAAATAAGTGTTCTTAAATTTTCGAAAACAACAGTTTTATTTTAAAATAATTTAATTTAAATTACGATTAAAATTATTTAAATATATTGAACTTATACAAAATGGATTTGATATTTTTTATAATTTATTTCGAATTCATTGTATACAGAGTGATTTTTTTATCATAACCCGCTCAATTACTTACAGAATAATAATATTTAAACATTTTTTTTTTATTATCTTTAGTTACACATTATTCTTGAATTATTAACTATGTAATACTTTTTAAGTTATTCCCTTATGCCTGATAAGATGTCAACTTTATTTTTTTAAATGGGAACACATTTTAAATTTAATAAAGTTTGAGTTTTTAATTTAATAGCAAATGGCATTTGAACTTTTAATAGAACTTTATTTGTTTATTAGATATAAACATTTACTGTTTCAAATTTTTGAGTTAATATACAGGTATAGTACACAAGGGATTACAAATACAGATAGCTAATTGTTTTTTTATGACATCGATATTAGCTGGTACACGCCATTGTTATTATCAATGGTAGTAAGGCACATTGTTGTGTGTATATAAATACACTAACTGACAATACAGAAAGGATATCTATTTATAGTTATTATTAATAATAAAAAATCCTAGAATGTGACAGCAATGTCATAAAAAACCAATTAGCTATTTATTATTGAATTAAAAATCCAAACATTTCATTAAATTCAAAATATGTTTTCATATTTAAAAAAACAAAGTTGACACCCTTATCAGACATAAGGGATGAACTTAAAAAGTATAACATAGTTAATAATTCAGGAATAATGTGTAACTAAAGATAATAAAAAAAAAATGTTGAAATTATTATTAATCTGTAAGTAATTGAGTGGGTTATGATAAAAAAATCACCTGTATAGTGAATGCCATTATGTCTTTATAGCTAGTGCAATTAAACAACCATGAATGGCTCTCCACCATTAATTTTGCCTTTGAATGGGAGAGCAGTACGTCTATTGCCGCATAGTCAATTTGTAATTGACCTTGAAGATTTAGAATCCCTAAAAACAAAAATTCGAAAAAATTTTACTCAAAAACTACATTAAATCTCATCAGTCATAATAAAATTAGAATTCTCTATGGTTGCCTAGGACAATAATTTAAACGGTGATGCAATAAGGAACATCATTTACAATAGTAAAAGTAAAAAACCTTGTCGGCCAACATAGAAGCAGGTAGTTCGGACCATTTGACTAACTACCCAGAATGAAGTCGGTCGAAGGGATCAATGGTACCTGTCGAGCTGAGAATGGCATGATGGTGGCTAGCAGTTTCAAGAACCAAGTCAAGGAAAAAGGACGCAGCAGTTATCCTTTTTCTATATTTCATATTTTTTTATAAGTTATTATCCTAAAATAAAGTACCTCGGTTTGTCTTAATTATTCGTAAAATAAGTGAGTTTGTATTTTGTTGCATAGAATAAATTTGTCTATAATAGACAAATTTATAAATAACACAATCGTATTAATTGAGGGTCAATACGAGTAACATTTAATACAATAATTGTTTTAGAATTATTCTAAATAAAAACTAACTGTATGGGTCTTTTCCACCTGCGCGCAGCTGCGTAATTCACGCAACCGGAAATAAATGATTAAATAATGGTGTCGTCTCTTCGTGGGGTGTCTTAACTATATTTTAATTGTTTTCAGTCTTCTAGCAATCGTTGTCGGCGCAATACGCGGTGGTCGTTTCGTCTAAGGTACTCGTGCAATGCGGTGCCCTGCTGTTGTGTGCCGTCGGTACTCTGCGGATACCACGACATCTTGTGGGCTATTTGCTAAATATTCACAGATTAAGCCACACGACGTAACGCATATAGTATTACTTGATTAACCAGCGTAAGCTGCCCATGCAGTTAGGTTATAACGACATTTGAAATATTTACACAAGGTAGAGCAATCATACTCTGTCTTTGATATTTTATTATTACAGCCCATTCACGAGTTTAACAAACCTATATTTTATGTCATTTTTTTAAAAAAATTAAGTGAAACTGATTTTTCTTATTTTTACGAAAAAATATTAATTTTACAAAAAAATAGTATATTATCTTATTTTTTTTTCACATCGAGTTCTATAAAAATTGTTCTTTGTGTTTTTAGCGAAACTTCAAAAATAAAGAGCGTACACTCAAAAAAAGATAATCCACTCCATTTTTGAGAACTTCAACCCCTTTGAGACACGTGTAGGGGTTGACTTATTGTACTCAAATTTTACCAGTTTCATTTTTTCAGTGAACCTAACGAAATATTGAGCCCATGACTCTGAATTTATGAAGTCTAAAAATAAGGACCACCCTAATATATATATATAAATTATTTTCTATTCATTTCTAAATTATTAAGACTTAACATATATTATTTTAAAAATTTCTTTAAAAGCCACAAAAAAAAAAAAGGAAAATTTCTTGTGAGAGTCATATTTAATGTAGCATTTACTTTAATATTTTTGTATTAGTTTAAGTATGTTCATACAATGTGGGCATGTGNGTATTAGTTTAAGTATGTTCATATAATGTGGGCATGTGCATAGAAGGAATTAGACTCATCTTGTTATATAATTATTAACACATGTACTAAACATCACATATATGAATAAAGCAAATATAATTTTCTTGTAATTATATTTTGACAAGTTCAGAGTGAATTTAAAAAACCCAGCACATGGAGGTCGCGGCACAGTGGTGACGTGGCATAGTTGGATCAAGTATAATGATATCTGACAATGATTAAAATCACTATAAAAAAAAACGCTTCGATGCAAATCTTTAGATAGTGTTTAATTTTAAAAAATTGGTGGATTATTCTAAAATCTACATGATTTGCTATTTCCTTATTAATATCCTGATTTAGATAAAGTATGCCAAATGAGAGAGGGATATAAATATTATTTCTCATAAAAAATTTGTATTAATTTATACACTATTCAATAAGTTATAGCACAATAAAGTTTAAAATGTCAATGAATTGTCTGTATGAAGAATATGTGCCAAGTAACTGTTTAAATGATAAATTAGATTTTTTTTCAATTTTTAAGGATAATATGTTCAACTAGATACGAATTATAGTCATTTGACGTATAGTTGAAAAAATTAGGTCAAGTGAGAGCTGAGAAAATAATGACAAGCCTAAAAAAACCGCATAGTAAAATAATTATAATATGAATAAGAATTTTCTTCTGACTGAGGAGACACAGTGATGGGTCCTTAATATTTATTCAAGTAATTCAATTTTAATGAGATAAAAATTAAATGAGTTAAAAGTTTTTTCTTAACTCAAAAATAATTAAGAAAGAAATTCACTCTCACAGGCTGGTTCGAACCTCGTACCCCTAGCGTTTAAGACATAAATTTTACCCACACTGCAACCGTACAACGCATTAAACGAAAGTAAAAAATGGAAATTTAAGCTAATTCATAGTTATTTTTTACGACTTAATAAAAAACAAAAATATTTAAATAAGTTTAATTTTATATTCTACTTCAATTAGATTTCTATAATATTCATGAAAATCAATGTACTCTCTTTGTAAGGTCTTTAAAATAAAATTCTAAACAGAGAATTTTAACACAAAAATAGCATATTTTTGAATACGGAAGCCATTTTCATTAAGAAGAAAATCTATATTTTGAATTTTTTTTTTTTTCATAGTAAATTAAATTACTTAATCTTCAATTTAAGACATATATTAAAGTGTCAGTATTTCCAGAATATTTTCAAAAGTTAAGTTGAAAAAAGTCTAGTTTCAATACGCATTTTTAAATTTTGAGTAGGGAAATGGTTTTGATTTAAAAAAAAGTATGTCGAATGAAAGAGGTATATAAATAGTATTTTTCAAAATATAAAGTTAAAAATGTAAAATATAAAATCGAGAATTATAACACAAAAATAGCAAATTTTTGAATACAGTAGCCATTTTCACAATGAAGACAAATTAAAATTCGACATTTTACTAAAGTTCATTACTAAAATCACTATCATAAAAAATGCTTCGAAGAAAATCTGTAGATAGTGTTTAATCTTAAAAAATTGGTAGATTATTCCAAAAGCTGCATGATCTCTTATTTCCTTTTTTGTATCCTGATTACAAGATTTATGATTTATAAGTGTAATATATTTATAATATATAAATATATTAAGGAAATGGTGTTTTAATGGAAATTTAATATTTAATTAATTAATTAAACAATTAAAGTTAGAAGATTAGGGGGATAGATTCCTTCATTGACATAACCTATTTGTCATTTTTTTGTGATTTTCATAATTTATATTATAAACACTAATAAAAATAGAGCTATCTAATTACATCCATTCATCCACAATAATATCCTTACATTATTAACACAAATAAAAATACTCTGAAATTTGAGATAACAGCACTCACGAAATATTATAACAAAGTTTTTTTCGTTCATTTCTATGAAAAAATCATTTGACCACCAATATTAGTACTAAGGCTTTCCATTTGATTTTCAGGAATATCATTTGAAAAAATTGCTTGTTAGTCTATACTACGTTATATTAATGTTTCATAAATATTCGTTTTTTTTTTTAGAAAGTTATTGCAATTTAAAAATAAAGAAAATCGAGTATAAAAAAAGAACACGGCAAAGCAAAACTTTTAGCTAAAATTAAACATCGAAACTAACACAAGCTGAATTACTCCGATGATTTAAACATATGTTTAATTAAAACTTATAATACATACATATTAAAAAAAAAACGGTAGCACAGTGGGGTCGCGGCATAGTGGAGACATTGCATAGTTGGGTCCAGATAGATTTAATCTGACANTTCCCAAAAATTTAATACTCTTGGGATGGATGAAAAATATTATTCAATTACATTTTATTGTAGTTTTATTACCTAATATTTTTTCTCTTTGAAAAATTTTAAATTTTCAATAATTTCTTAGAAAATTAGTGTCTTACCAAATTTTGATCAATTTTTATATGGATATATTAAAATATGTTTTAATAGTAAATATTTAGTAGTAAATATTCTGTAGCATTTTAAAGTTTGTAAAAATTTGAATTTTCATATATTATTTAACGATATTAAACATTTAAATACGTGCTAAGAAAAGGACAGAAGAAAACACTATATAAATCCTATACATCATATATGTATACATCATATTTTTTAGAATTGTGTAAAAATATCAATAGCTTGCTACTACATCGATATTGTAAAATTACAATGGTACAGTACAAGTTCATTACAGTATCAAATCGATGTAGTTTTATGACGCCAGATATAAAATCATAAATTGTACATCATAATTTTAAGTAAATTTTCAAATTATACGTCGTTATAAGGAAACATTACATGAATTTTAAAATTTTAGAAAATTAACCAAATCACCTTAATAAAGAGTTTAATTTTACTTTATTATAAATATCAATTAACAATTTTATTTTCAAAACAAAATTTATTGTTATTGAATTTATTTTAGTATATATTTCATAAATTAGTAGCGATTTCAAAAATGACTAATATATTAAAATTTTAACAAATGAATGCTTCTCTTACTTAATTTTTTAATTATTCTTTTTTTGATAATTTAGAATTTTATTATTTTTTTTCTATGTTGTACTCTTCAGAAATACATTTGATGACAATATCTGTAGCTCTTAGAAATTTAGCTTCATTCGTAAATTTATTTGACCCAAACAAATCTTGCAATTCTTCGTTAACTACACTTGGAAGTAATTTAGAAATCATTAATTCGATATTTTTTTCCTCTTCTGTTTTTTTTGATTTATGTTCATCTGATATTTTACTTTTTGCTATTCTTTTGTAATCATTATAAAATTCACTTTCAATTTTATTAATTAAGTATTTCAACAGTTCTAAGACCCCAATCATACTAATATGAATATTTGAATTTAATTTAATATATAGTGATAATTCATTTTCTAAACGATAAGGAATTTCATAAATTTTTTTGAAATTAATAATAGTTGTTAATGCCGTACTTACCATCTCAACTATATCTTTAGGATTTCTTGTTTTATTTCCAAATTTTAAACAGCATACTAATAAGTAAAGATATTTATACGACCTTTTTTGCATTGCTATGCTATATTGCTCCAATGAAATATCACCATTATTTATATTAGACAGTCGTACATAGGTGTCATTCACAATAATGTACTCGTTTTTTATTAAATTTCCATTAAGAAGATTTGATAATTTGTGTGTATAAGAAAATGGGCTGCAAATCGTTAAAATAATGACTGCAATTAATATTGATACCATTTTGGTATTGTACTAGAAGAAACTTAATAGTGATGCGAAAAGTATATTTTAAAAAAAAGTGAACAATTATAATATGTAAAACCAAAAGTTTTATTATCATCAAGCTTATATACAAAATACAAAATTTATTTTTGAAAAAAAAATATGCTGTATAATTTTAAGTAAATAATATTTTTTTTAGGCGTAAATAATTATTAATCTCACCTAAAAAAATGTATATAATTTTTCACTTACATGATGTGTACATTTTTATTGCTAATATAAGACTTAGGTTTGCAATAACATTTTTTATCACAGTAAAAATTTTATTACATATAACAAAAAAATCAAGTACAACTCTAAAAAATGTATTCACATGTGTTTTTAAAATTAGATGAATATACAAATTTCCCATTACTTATGTAGTAGAAGTGTTTCATGCATACACATGCATTAAAAAATTTCGATCGTTTTTTACAGCGCTCCGAAATTTTAAATTCATTCACTTTTTGTAAATACATAATAACCTATTGAATAATACGTTTATCGTGATCAAATCAAATATCTCATGAAAAAAGCTGAGCATTTTTTTTTTATTTCTGTTTGCTAAGTACAATTTGTGTTAAGCATCTACTAGATTTCCCTTGACTAGTTTAACAAATAATTGTACTATTTTAAAAATATTATTATTATTTAGTACACATATAATTTTGGTAGGTTAAATTTTAATATAATTTTTACACAATTATGAAGTGGGCAATACGTGAATTCTATACTTAAGATGGCAATATGATATGCATATAAGTTTTGAAAATCTGACATTTTTATGAGAACTACTTCAATATTTAACCTAACATTACAAATTTTTTCAATAGTCTTTTTCGTCTTCTAAAAAGCAAAATATGATTTTTGCTGAAAATTATCATTTTAGTCATCTTTTTCTAGCTATGGACTAAGATGACAAAAAAAAATTGTAAAACTTTGTAACCAAAACCATTGTAAAAGAAATGGGACCTTATAAATTAATAGGTATTAATTACAGTAGAACTCCAATTATCCGAACTCCGATCATCCGAATCGCCGATTATCCGAATCACTTTCAGAAAAAATCAGAAAAAAATTTGTCCAAAGTCCGCGGCTTCAGTGTAGGCACAACACGTGGTAAGAGTTCCCACTCCAGTTCCGGCGCATTGCAGTCACCTGTCATTGTTTATTTTGATTAGTCAGTGAATGGGTCCCGGTCCCCATTAATTCGGATAATTGGAGTTCTACTGTAATACATTTGTATATTTAAGTGACAAATTTAAAAAATTTTCCTCAGCATAAGATATCTATAATTTTGATGTTCAAAAATAACATAAAATATGAATTTTTAACCACAACTAAAATTAACGTGCGCGCACTTGTGTTAACACAAGTGAGTAGCAAAGTATACCGTAAGAGTCTTTTATATTAGTAATCATATGCTAACTATCACTATATATGATTGATTTTAAGAAAAACTGAATTCGTCATCTTACCCTGCCTTTCCCCAAGTAAATTTATTTATTAATTAACAAAATTAATCAATGTATTAAAGAATATTCTGATATTTAAGAATGGAACAAATAATTTAATATTAATAATGTATTTTATATTCAAGATAAATATAGGTATCATTAATATGTATTGGTCGGAATTTGTAGACTTTAAATTTCTATAATACAAAAAAATATTTGTACAAGCTTATATGAAGAAGTATGAAACTAAACTCATTGTTTCTTTATTTGATAAAACTGACTATAATATTTCAATTATTAAAAAACAAAAAAAAAATCTGACACCTTTAAATAATTATAGAATTAATAGACACTAATTTTACAATAGTCAGTTCATAAAAATCATCTTGAGAGACTGTCTGATCATTTATTTAGTTGTATAATTATGAACACAAATTCCATATAATTAAAGCTTATAGAAAATACCAAAATTCTTCTTCGCTTTGAACTTTTTATTGTAATCTTCTAATTTTATCAATGATCACCGAAATATGTTTTAATTTTTTAATTGTAAAATAATTATTTTTATATTCTATCTTTTTACTTCAAATAATGATAATTATAGATTAAAAATTTGAATGAGAAAACAATTTTTTTGTTAAATGTTTGTTATTTATTATTAATATGCTTAAGGGATATGTTATAAATGTGTTAAGAAAATTGTAATGTATTCTAATTTTTATTTGAATACATTTATAAAAAAAAACCATTTGAATTAATTACAATTAAAATTACTTTTTATGTTTCTAAGTGGCCTTAGTGAATTTTAATATGAAAAGGTTAGTGTTGGCATTTTTAAGGAAAACAGATAAATCTGTGTTTAAATTAGTTATATTCTAATACCTTAGAAAAATATATTTCACCAATTTTTATGATTAAGAAATGTTAATGGAAATAAAATTTTTCCATCTAAACTTGTATAAATTCAATATTTTTTTTATAATTATAATTATAATTAATAACTTTTTTTAATTAAAAATGTAGTTTTTTGCATTTTGATATTTCCATAATTATCCAACAAAAATGTTTCTACAACGCCTGTATTAACTAAGGGCGCAGTACTGAGACAGTACTAGCATTTAAAAGCTGCCCAGTCCGTACTGCCTGTTATCTCGTTTATATACCGAGGCAGTACTGACCGTAAGTACTGGCTGCAGTTGTAACGCCGTTGCTGATTGAATACCGGCAGTGTACTGGTACTACTAAACCTCCAATACTTGTTTGCACTGGCTCATAAGACTTGTGCCAAGTGTTGGTCGAATACCAGCGCAATACTGATACAACAAATTCTTCATTACTGAAAAATGCCACTATAAAATTACCAAAATTAGCAACTATTATAATGAATATGAATTTTAAAACATACAACTTTTAAAGTCAGTCAATATCTGTTAAATTCATGAAAATAATAATCTACAAATATCAATTGGAAAATAAGTGATTTTAAGATTAACCTTATGTTGGATACTATCGTTTCGTTTTTTAATAATAATCTCTTTTAATACAGTTACATATGATAATCAAACAAGGTAAAATAAAAAAAAAAGGTAATCTCGCTGGTATCGAATTAGCCGACTCCAAAATGCACCGTCTACTAATTTTATGTACAATGTAAAAATTGTGCCAATAATGCCAAACACAATTGCACTAGTATACTATAAAATACAAAACCCAGAATTTAATACAAATATGTCATATTTTTAAATACGATGATTATTTTCACCATGAAGCCAAGTCCAGAGGTCAAATTTTTTTTTTTAATTTAAGTATTTTACCTAAGCATCAATTTAAGACATATATAATTTCCGAAACATTATTAAAAGTCAAGTTGAAAAAGTTCTACTTTCTACACGCATGTTTAAAATTTAAACCCCCCTTGTATGAACGGAAATAATCCAATTAAAAAAAAAAGTATGTCGGATTAAAGGGGTATATAAAAAGTATTTATAAAAAATAATAATATTGATCCATACATTTTTCAAAAAGTTATAGTAATATAAATTTAAAAATATAAACTCGAGAATCTCTTCACGGAAATAGTACGTTTTTCTTTAACTTTGATGTCGGTTTTCACAATAAAAACAATTCCAGAGGTCAAATTTTTTAACACAAAAATAGCATGTTTTTAACTACGGCAGCTATTTGCACATAGAAGATATGCTGTCGGGACAAATTTTTTCAATTTATAGTACATAACATAAACTTTAATTTAACATATATTTAAAAGATGTAGTATTTCTGGAACATTTTCAAAGCTTGAGTTGAAAAAGCTGATTTTTGTAAAAAAGTTTCCCTTTTGAATCCCGCCTCTGTGAAGAGTTATAGAGTTAGAATTTCAAAAAAAATAATATCAAATAAGAGGGATTACCTGAAACTACACATTGTTTGATGAATCATATAGAATGACTACTTTCATTATTATTTATAGTATCTGCTACCTCAGCAACGCCAGAAAGAACATTCAGTGGGTTAAAACGTTTGAAAACCTTTTTACGTCGCACTATGAGCCAAAAGCGTTTAACTCATTTGCTGCTAATACATTTGAATCAAAATATACTCAACAAAATCGGTTGGGTGAGAGTTGAAAAAAAGTGGCAACTGACATTAAAAAAAAAAACTCATCGTAGTTAAATTAATATGTTTTCAGCTTCGCATCGAAGATAAAAACAAAATAATCATAAGAGATGCTTTATAAAGTCTAACACCCCGAGATCTATTTAACTTCATACAACCTCGTTCCCTCTTTCGTTATTTAATTTTTTGTTTATTACAAAAAAGACTTAAGAAAGAAATACAAAGAAGTTATCCAAACTGATGGTATTCGAATTTCGTACTCCGACCGTATAAGACTGAATTATTAAATGCCAAGCAGCATTCGTGCTTTACACGTTTAAATAAATAAAAAGGATTATTTAAGCTAATTCAAATATTCAAAATCGCTTTTCTGAACTTTGAGGAGGTATAATAATAAAAATAAATTTAAAATTATATTTAATGTAAGTTAGATTCACGTAACTTTAATAAAAATTGTTGGTCTAATTACTGTGGCAAGCCCATGTAAGGTATTTTAAAATAAACAAAAAAAAGTAAAATTTGAATACAAAAATAGCATGTTTTTTAGCTTCGGCAGCCATTTGCCCATAGAAGATAAGGTATCAGGACAAATTTTTTTTTTAACGTATAGTACAGAACAAGAGCTTTAATTTGACATATGTTTAAAGGACGCAGTATTTCCAGAATAATTTTAAAAAGTAAGTTGAGAAACTTCAACTTTCTATATGCATTTTATAGATTTGAACCCCCCCTTTATATAGGGAAAAATCCGATTTAAAAAAAAGTATGTCGGATGAAAGGAGTATATATAATGTATTTAGAAAAAAATTGTATTGATACATTCATTTTCAAAAAGTTATGGCAGTTTTAAGAAAATAAAATAAAAGAAATGTAAAAATTTACCGATTTTAAAAAACGTACATTTTGGGGGATTTACTCTATTGTCAAATGAATGGCTTTTCAGTTTCCCTTGGAACTAAAAGTAGAAGCAATGGCTACACAATATATTTAACAAAAGTTTGTATATTTATAATTTTACAATTACTCTGCATAAAGTTTTGATCAAATATTAAAAAGGGTTAAAATCCCTTTCATGTTGTGGCGATCAAATGTTAGAGGATTAAAGGGATACGAGATATCGTAGATTCCTTCA